AACGTGCATAATAGTGCGGAATATTATTAGTACTTTATAAATTTACATGCGTTTTTTGAGAAATCGGAAATAGCGTAAATTAGTACTTTCAATCAATGGAAATTACTCAAAATTTGACAGAAAGTAGATCTTTTACTTATATGTGAAATGTCATTCATCCATCTGATATAGTTCTCAAGTTATAGGCTTTTGAAAAATTCAAAGTAGAAAAAGTACCACTTCCGTTTATCGGAAATCGCTCGAAAGTTGATCAGGATCTACGATGTTAATAAAATACTTATATATGAAATTTTATCAACCTAGCTGTAACGGTACCCAAGTTATCGTGTTTACACACAGGCACACACACACACACAGACATACGAAAAGAATTGCAAAGTCCAGTTTTTACGACTCGATAACGCATAAAACGCCAAAATGTTTATATATTTGTATTTATAATTTTTGCCTGATTAAAATAAGTCCTCTATACTCCGGATGTGATGAAGGACTGCGGAGTAAAACGGTGAAAACTGTCGAAATTTCATTGTTTTTTTGGTGCACGATTACAATACTTTTTCTATACTTCGTATATACGAAAAAGTAAAAACACAAAGCATGTAAATATTAGAATAACCAAATAAGACACAGAGAATCTCTAAAAAGATTTACAGCGCCAATGTTGAACTTTAAATTGCATTTATAGAGATCAAACAAGCCAAAATATAAGCACAAAATACTTTAAATGTTAGGAATTTGGACAATGACTAGTTTAATTTTGGGTTGTTTTTTTTTTCGGTAAAAAATCGTTTAAATCCATATTTTAAAACAAGTACAAAATGTGTAAATATTCATGAGCTACATTAATGATTACATCCACTTTAAATAGCTGCACCCATGAGAGAGAGTTCTTTTGGGCCCCTTACTTACCCTACAGAACACGACGTCACATTGAACTGTACGGCTAAGGCGGCAGCTAAAGAGACACTAGAAAAACCTGTTTGGTACAGGAACGGGGAGGTTTTCAAAGAAGGTAGGAATGGAATTAACAACTACATTATTTGTTGAGCAGTGGGCTGGTCTAGGAAAATAGACTTTGATTGTAAAGGTGTGTAGAATCATATACTGTTTTGGAGGTCAGGGTTAGTCGGTAAAGCTCATGGTTGCTAAACCGAAAAGTCTCGAGTTCGAACCCTCGGGCAGATGAGGCTCGTTAGCTGGGGACAGCCACTCCTTTCTAGGAGAGACAACTCCAAAATTTAAAAAAAAACTGCTCTCTTGTAGTTTGTTCTTGGTTGGACAAAGGCTATGGAACCAAATCCAAAAAGAAAAGCAGGCTGAAATCGGAGTTAATGGCCTCAATGGCGCATAATCAGTTGACACATATCCTAAATTGTGATGGAGGCGTGGTCGAGTCGGCAAAAACTCATGGTTGATAAATTGGTAAAAAGTCTGGAGTTCAAACCCTCGGGCAGATCTCGTTACCTCCCAACACTAAAAATTAAGAACGAAGCAGAAGAAATGCTGTGTTTTATTAGTTATTTTGTTTTCAAGAGTTAGAATATTCAATACTTTAAAAGTTTTGCTTTTTGAAGCGATTATGAATTATTCATGTTGTTTAGGCGTTTTTTTTTCAGGTTAAAAATGGTTTTCATGTTTGAGATACACCAATATATATGTTTCGAGCAAATCCTTGTATTTTTTTTTTAAATCTATGAATGAATACACGACTTCCTGTTTGTATGTTTATTTGTTTGTTTGTACCAGAGAACTTCCCTGACGTGTACCGGTACAGGTTTAACGAGGACAGGACGAGGCTGAGCATAAAAAACCTGAACAAGAGCGTCGATACGGGCTGCTACCAATGTAACATCTCAAACAGCGAGGGCTACATCTTTTATGACGGCTACATCAGGGTCATAGGTAGGTGGGGCTACATCAGGGTCATAGGTAAGTGGCGCTACCTCAGGGTCATAGGTAGGTGGGGCTACGTCAGGTCATAGGTAGGTGGGGCTACATCAGGTCATAGGTAGGTGGGGCTACATCAGGGTTATAGGTGGGTGAGGCTATATGGTATAGGTAGGTGGGGCTACATCATGGTCATAGGTAGGTGGGGCTATATCAGGGTCATAGGTAGGTGGGGCTATATTAGGGTCATAGGTAGGTGGGGCTACATCAGGGTCATAGGTAGGTGGGGCTATATTAGGGTCATAGGTAGGTGGGGCTACATCAGGGTCATAGGTAGGTGGGGCTACATCAGGGTCATAGGTAGGTGGGGCTATATCAGGGTCATAGGTAGGTGGGGCTATATTAGGGTCATAGGTAGGTGGGGCTACATCAGGGTCATAGGTAGGTGGGGTTACATCAGGGTCATAGGTAGGTGGGGCTACATCAGGTCATTGGTAGGTGGCGCTACCTCAGGGTCATAGGTAGGTGGCGCTACCTCAGGGTCATAGGTAGGTGGGGCTACATCAGGTCATTGGTAGGTGGGGCTACATCAGGTCATAGGTAGGTGGGGCTATATGGTATATGTAGGTGGGGGCTACAATAGGGTCATATGTAGGTGGGGCTACATCAGGGTCATAGGTAGGTGGGGCTACATCAGGGTCATAGGTAGGTGGGGCTACATCAGGGTCATAGGTAGGTGGGGCTACATCAGGGTCATAGGTAGGTGGGGCTATATGGTATATGTAGGTGGGGGCTACAATAGGGTCATATGTAGGTGGGGCTACATCAGGCAACTAAAAATATTTGCTTTAAAACATTATCAATGTCTTGTCAATGAGGATTATTCTCCCCCCCCCCCCCCCACCCCCATGCGAAAGCAGCTATCAGTGACGACAGTTTACAGACGACAACAACCAGATCCAGTAAATCTTGTTACCTCCCTTTAGTTTCAAATCATTTAACAAAACTATATTATCTGCCCCTAATAGCCTTCACTAGATCGACCGCCTCCGCGATTGTAAACATTCGGTGTGAACCACAGCTCACCAGACTGGTCGGTTGATAGCGTCTAGCTAGTTATCTCCCCTTCTGTTATTGAATATAGTAATCTATCGAGTGATTTGCTTTTGTTATCTCCTCTTAGCTTCAAAAACGTAGAATTAATTTCTAATGACTAATTAAACATCAAATTAAATTATTAAAAAATAGATAGACTTGTAGAAAGTACCTGGACAGTTTGAACGAAATCGCTGCATTAGAAGTGGGTCAAATTGAGTTACACTGATATGTGTAAAGTCATCTCTACACATTGACGACAATTCTATTCTATATAAAGTTAACTTCTTTATGTCTATATGCGATAAACATTAACATCATTCCACAGATTCCATCAAAATAAGATCAAAGATCCCAGAAAAGATCAATCTGCTCACCTCACCTGAAATTATTGACCTGACGGTGACCGCTACAAAAGACGCATGTTGCACGCTTACAAGGAAGTGGTACATCAATGAAACTCTCCAGGCTGATTCAAAGTTTGAAAATCCTCCATTCTAGTATGTTTTTCTTAGAATTCGACCTGAAGCTTTATTTAAAGTTATGTTTTCATTTGTTTTTACAAATTTAAGTCATGATTCGGTTTTTCATAACGTCGATAAAACACGTTTTTTTTTATTTCTTTCCCCAGTGATTATGGCTCGTCCACGGGTACTTTGTTTATCAACAAGTCCCTGGTGTCACGTGATCAGCTGATGGAAATTGTGGGATACTACAGGTTGAGTCTGTACAACAGGTACCAGACTGTTGACGTCACGTTCTCTCTAACTTTAGAAGGTGAGTACTTCATACAACAGGTACCAGACTGTTGACGTCACTTCATACAACAGGTGTCAGACTGTTGACGTCACGTTCTCTCTAACTTTAGAAGGTGAGTACTTCATACAACAGGTACCAGACTGTTGACGTCACGTTCTCTCTAACTTTAGAAGGTGAGTACTTCATACAACAGGTACCAGACTGTTGACGTCACTTCATACAACAGGTACCAGACTGTTGACGTCACTTCATACAACAGGTACCAGACTGTTGACGTCACTTCATGCAACAGGTACCAGACTGTTGACGTCACGTTCTCTCTAACTTTAGAAGGTGAGTACTTCACACAACATGAAGTTCCTTGTATTTCAGCTGTAGACTACGACTTCATCTTCCACATATGACACTGAGTGCATTTTCTAGTGCATTATTACCTAAAAGCTTGTTATTAAATCGTTTTTCATGCAGTTTTTTTAGTACTTTAAACTATTTGTTTACAATAGAGTTGCATGACTAAAAAAAATGTTGCGCACCGAATGAACATAATAACTTGCGTATGATAGTGCGGAAAGAGCAGTACAAGGCAGCCTACTAATTTAAGAAAATTTTAATTAATTCATAAAATATTAATTAAGCATCGAATTAAGTCTAATTTTATGTCATTTGCATCGTCTTCAAAACTTGACCATCGTACTAACTTTGAAACAAATGTGTCAGTAAGAAGTGTTCGCAATTTTGCTCGCCCGTTTTGATCTAGGATGACAGACTGACGACAGACAGACTGACGACAGAGGAAGCAAGTTAAGCTTGTAATAAAAGCTTGTAACTAACTTTGTGTAGTGTAATAATAAATTTTGTGAATGATTTGAGAAAATTCCATTTTTAGGCTGCTTCACTTTGTAGGTTTATTTTAAGTATAAAGCTGGTGTTTTTCGTCTGTGAAGTTGGTGTTAATTCTATGCTTGGTCAAGTCTATGCCAGTTTTTTGCCGGTTAGATTTTTGCTGTCTGGCATCAATGTAGAGATTTGGTGGATATCTCAGCTAGTTTCGTGCAGGCTGAAATGTGTGTACTTGTGGTCTGCGGGTGCTCTTCAGACACCCCTAATCAACAGCTGCCAAACTCACTAATTTTAATTAGTGACGGTGTTTTACGGTGTGTATCAAATGTTTTTTTATGAAAAACAAAAGAAACGAAAAATTCTGTCACACGTTTTCAGATGGTCCAGAGGCCCTAATCTCTGCTGGTGGCGGGTTCTGGTCATCGTCATCGCCATTGTTGTCGTTGTCGTTATCATCAAAAGCAATTACCCAAGAAATACATATCTATGTAAGTATTTTTTAACAATTTTAATTTCTCTTTTTATTTAAAATGTGTGTTTCGTTTCCAAATTATTGTCTTTTAGACTAAGCAAACCACAAAAGTAGATAAATACTATCAGAAAAATTGCGTTTTAATGTAACATTGTTTTGATTAATAAAAGCAATATTTAATATTCGTACACGGATTTATTTTGAAAGATATAGTATATCTTATTGTGCTGTAAGGTAATGGTATGAAACCTCTTAACTATCTCTTTATGTATCGTAATGTGCTGTAATGTAATGCAATGAAACCTCTTAACTTCCGCTTTTCTGTTGATAGTGGAGAAGAAAGAGCTTAAGCACAATCTCAACCCAGAGGCCGATCTACTGAATCAATCTTTCCAAGAAATTTAAGACAAGACAGAGGCCGATCTACTGAATCAATCTTTCCAAGAAATTTAAGACAGAGGCCAATCTATTCAATTAATCTTTCCAAGAAATTTAAGACAAGACAGAGGCCGATCAACTGAATCAATCGTTCCAAGAAATTTAAGACAAGACAGAGGCCGATCTACTGAATCAATCTTTCCAAGAAATTTAAGACAAGACAGACCGATCTATTCAATTAATCTTTCCAAGAAATTTCAGACAGAGGCCGATCTATTCAATTAATCTTTCCAAGAAATTTAAGACAAGACAGAGGCCGATCTATACAATTAATCTTTCCAAGAAATTTTAGACAGAGGCCAATCTATTCAATTAATCTTTCCAAGAAATTTAAGACAAGACAGATGCTATTAACGTAACAAAGTAATTATTAACATATTTATTAAATCTTTTATAAACCACCACTTTCACGAAAACTAGACAGAGTTACCTAAGAAACCAATACCTATTACAAATCAATAAAGTGTATATTTAATTCTACATGTTTTCAAGATATACCAAAATCAGCTGCAATTTACTCTATCTTATTTAGAAAAATGATCCCATCTGCCCAGTTAATGTTAGGTTCCCTATTTGAGATTATCTCACAATAACATATTCCTCGGCTTAGGTATGTCTTCACAACTCTCTGAAAACTGTCTATAGATAGATTGTTCTGCTCCTTTTTAATTTAACTAAATCAACAAAATATTCCTATCCACACCCTTTCAACGTGGGTTACATAGATAATGATAGACATGAACATCGGGACGTGCTGAATTAAAATATTTTATTAGGGCTAAATAATGTATTTTCGTGAAGTTCTGGGCGAAGTTTGTTGTTTTTATCCTGTATGGGTGTATGTGTGTGTTTCAGTGTGTACTTGGATAAAAGCAAATAGTTGAGTACTAGCACATTGTATAATTTCAGCATAGATGATGAACACACAGATACATTTCAGATACATTTGGTGTTTGTTGAATTCAATACAGTTATTCTATTTGTGGTAATGTTTTGCATATTTTGAAGTCTTTTTTGTAACACAATTTGTTTTTGATAATTTCTTTGTAAATTTATGAAATGAAACAAAATGTACAAGTGTAATTCATAAAACGTAATGCATATTTCGCTTATCATCATATTTTCAATAAAACCTGTTTGTATTTTGCATATGGTTTGTGTTACCCTACACATGGAGAAAATCTTTATGTGCTAACGTGTGCTAACGTGTGCTAACATATGCTAACATGTGCTAACGTGTGCTAACATGTACTAACATGTGCTAACATGTGCTGACACGTGCTAACATGACCTAACATTAAATGCTGATCTGTAGCATTTTTACAAATCGTGTAGTGCCCCGAGGTTTGTAAAAGTGTACTGATCGTGTACCGTATACAGTGGCATCACCAGGTTAACTCTCGGCAGGTGCGGTTCGTGCCCCTCGCTCACGCCTCGCCAAGCTGCTGCGGTAGACTTTAACTAATTACTTTAACTAATTACTTTAACTAATTACTTTAATTAATTACTTTAACTAATTACTTTAAATAATTACTTTAACTAATTACTTTAACTAATTACTTTAACTAATTTTTTTAACTAATTACTTTTAACTAATTACTTTAACTAATTACTTTAACTAATTACTTTAACTAATTACTTTAACTAATTAATTTAACTAATTACTTTTAACTAATTACTTTAACTAATTACTTTAACTAATTACTTTAACTAATTACTTTAACTAATTAATTTAACTAATAGCTTTAACTAATTACTTTAACTAATAACTTTAACTAATCACTTTAACTAATTACTTTAAATAATTACTTTAACTAATTACTTTAACTAATTACTTTAACTAATTACTTTAACTAATTACTTTAACTAATTACTTTAACTAATTACTTTAACTAATTACTAAGGTAGTTAAAATGTGTACACAACTGTGTTATTTTAAAAATAGAGGGGTCAATACCAATTCATATTCGTTGAGGTCGAGAAAAAAAAATTTATTAGAAAAATTGATAACGAATTTTTAATTTCAATTTGAAAAGATTTGAAGACTGCATTGTCCTTAGTAAATGATTTCGTACGGTATGTGTATTTTTAAATTTTAAACAAAATGTTCATCTTAGTAGAAATAATCTTAGTAGAAATAATCTTAGTAGAAATAATTTTAGTAGAAATAATCTTAGTAGAAATGATCTTAGTAGAAATAATCTTAGTAGAACTAATCTTAGGAGAAATAATCTTAGTAGAAATAATCTTAGGAGAACTAATCTTAGTAGAAATAATCTTAGTAGAAATAATCTTAGTAGACTAGGTTCACTCCGAGATTGCGATACATTGTCATCAAAAGAAAGTTTAGCAATACCTATTAATAATGAATCAGGTGCAAAACATACACAAACACAAACATTCATCAGGTGAAAATAAAGTTAAAACCAAATTAGAGTTTCAAAAATATTTAAAAGATAGAAGTTTCTCAGGATTGTCGATAGAAATACAGATCTCAAAAAGTGATTAGTGGCACAAGACATGGACGTATTTACTGACAGGCACTATTGTGGAATTTCCAGAACAAAAGAAAACAGGAAGTTTAAAAAAAACAGAAAGTTTGATCTGATGGAAATCACAATGTGTATCAAGTGGACGAAAGAAACAGAAGGGTTTGTGTATAAGACATCACGTGATGTAAGAGATTGACCAAAGTAACAGAAGGATTAATTGTAACATGTAGACTATACGAACATAAAAGGTATGAAGTTTCACTTAGAATATGTTTAGAGAATAGATTAGATGCTACAAGACGAAAAGTATGCTGTTCACTTTCAAATGTGACTTGATGTGTTGTTTGGTGGTTCAGTTAGAAAGAACATGAGGGGTCTATGGTGTTGGTGGTAGAGTTAGACAGAACATGAGGGGTCTGTGGTGTTGGTTGAAGAGTTAGACAGAACATGAGGGGTCTGTGGTGTTGGTGGTTCAGTTAGACAGAACATGAGAGGTATATGGTGTAGGTGATAGAGTTAGACAGAACATGAGAGGTCTGTGGTTAAAGAGTTAGACCTATGATCACATCACACGAGGGTAAGGTTGAAAGGGGTTGATGAAAGACGACGAAGCGGTAAAAGAACCTTTAAGATTAAGAAAACTTATAACAGACGGCGCAAAGATTAGATGAATCAAGCTGTAGAAAATTACTTATTGATTTTTGAAATTCGAGCAAACAGATCTTAGGCGTCTTATGTAATTAATTATTGAACGATCTATAGTACCATTATGTGAGATACATGTTTGTGTGTCATTGGTGTGTCACCCCTAGAGTCGTAGCGACCCTTCCCGGGGACAAAGTTTGCACCCCCTCAATCTTTCGATTTGCACCCCCCCCCTTAACTTTCGATTTGCACCCCCCCCCCCACGCTGACAAGACAAATTATCTCAGGAAAAATGATCAAAAGGACAAATGATCAAAAGGACAAATGATCAAAAGGACAAATGATCAAAAGGACAAATTATCTAAAGGACAAATTATCAAAAGGACAAATGATCAAAAGGACAAATGATCAAAAGAACAAATGCTCAAAAGGACAAATTATCTCAAGGAAAATTGATCTCGCGGAAAAATATATATCAGGACAAAAATATAAGATCAAAATATATCATGGACAAATAATCTCAGACAATATCTCTGAACAAATATCTCTGACAAAATATCTCACGGCAAAATATGTAGGCCTATAGTGTTTGGGATTATTTTAGGCGATTTTATCAATTTCTTTTGCTGTCTTGTTGATTTTGTTTGCTTACACAGAATAATTGTGAGATATACTATAGTGTTTCATATGAAATGTATAAGAAATAAAAATACATAAAATAATTACATTGATGAAAGCCTTAATTACACTAAAGTTCACAATGCGTGTAACAGTTTGCAAAAACGTTCGAAACGTAAAATATATTGAAATAGATTAAAATTATCTTAAAAATTATAAATAATATAACCTACTAGCCGTCCCGGCCAGGCCCTGCTCTGACTTCTGTGAAAAACCTTTCTGTTAAAGACCACATTACCTGTGTGTTTAGTAATCATCATAAACCCGGCATTGCCCACCCAAACCACAACCAACCAAAACCAAAACAACAAAACGCAAACATAACGCTAAGACAATTACAAATACAAACGAAAACAAAAACCTAACAACAAACCCAACCACAATCACAAACACCAATACAAACACAAAGAAAAAACCAAACAAAAAAGCAAACGAAAACAAAAACCTAACAACAAACCCAACCACAACCACAAACACCAAAACCAACTAATAACAACACAAAAAAAAAAACGAATAAGCAAACGAAAACAAACCAAATCCAAACGCAAAACCAACCAAAAACACAAATACAAACCCAAAGAAAAAAACACAATCAAAAACGAAAGAACAAAAACGAACCAAATCAAACCGCAACCACTAACGCAAGCCCAACCTAAACACAAAGAAAACACTAACGCGAACTATAAACGCAAAGTGCACACAGTCTAGCCCGGGGCGGAATCGCCTGTTTTAGCTTAATAAACGACTATAGTACCCCAACTTATTCATAGTCTTTTGCACTCACTTAAACGAACGCGCCTGTTTCAATTTAATGAACAATTATAATACTCCAAGCTTATCCGTAAAATACCTACAACTTTTGCACTTGATCAATCCCCGCTAATTATGTAATTATTTTTTTTCCCAACACCAAAACAAAGTAATAAAAAGTAAATTCTTTTCCAGTAATGTAATGGTTTTATAAAGGGAAGTAATTGTGTTTTCCTAATTTATCAAAGGGAAGTAAGTGCTATAGGACTAAATAAAGACATAATTAGAATTTTTGTAAAAGATGATATTTTTTAAAAACTTGTGTAATGAACATGCCGAAAATTATTACTTTCAGTTTGATAAATGAAAATTATTTCCCAAAACTTTTAATAGTATTTTTTTAACTCATAAATTTAGACATAAGGACTTTAATTATCTAACACTTAAATCCATCGAAGTATGTCAACGACAAACTTATCACATACAGAATTGAGCTTTATATATTACTAGCCGTCCCGGCCAGGCCCTGCTCTGGCTTCTGTGAAAAACCTTTCTGTTAAAGACCATTACCTGTGTGTTTAGTAATCATCATAAACCCGGCATTACCCACCCAAACCACAACCAACCAAAACAACAAAACCCAAACATAACGCTAACACAATTACAAATACAAACGAAAACAAAAACCTAACAACAAACCCAACCACAATCACAAACACCAATACAAACACAAAGAAAAAACAAACAAAAAAGCAAACGAAAACAAAAACCTAACAACAAACCCAACCACAACCACAAACACCATACGAAAGAAAAAAACGAAAGAAAAAGCAAACGAAAACAAACCAAATCCAAACGCAAAACCAACCACAAACACAAATACAAACACAAACCCAAAGAAAAATACACAAACGAAAACGAAAAAAGCTTAATAATCGACTATAGTACCCCAACTTATTCATAGTCTTTTTGCACTCATTTAAACGAACGTAGGTGCCAAACCAAACCAAATGAACAATTATAATTCACTTTTCACTTAGTCCTCTTTGCTCCTTATGGAGCATAGGGCCTCCACCATTTCCTTCCATTTCTTCCTATCCTCGGCTATTAATTTTGACATCTCCCAAGACATCCCTATTGGCTTCAGTTCTTCAAGAAGACTCCGCCTCCAGGTCTGTCTTGGGCGCCCTCTCTTCCGCTTTCCCTGGGGGTTCCACTCAAGCGCTTGGCGTGTAACATTTGTGTGAGTTTTTCGCAGTGTGTGACCCACCCAGCGCCACTTCCTCCTTCTTATTTGCACACCTATAGGCTCCTGCCTAGCTTTCCTCCATAGTTCCAAGTTCGGCACTTTGTCCTGCCATCTCAGTTTCAGTATCTGTCTAAGGCATCTATTCATGAAGGTCTGTATCTTTGCTGTGCTTGCCTTGGAGACTCTCCATGTCTCTGCTCCATACAGCAGAACTGCCTTGACATTAGCGTTAAATATCCTAATTTTTGTGGTAATGGAGATGGCCGAACTTTTCCATATGGGTCGCAGGACTGTGAAAGCGCAGCGGGCTCTATTAACTCTAGCGCGTATGT